TGAGAGGTTTTTGCTATAGGGTGCGTGCGCTCGCCAGAAAGAGACAGAGAGACAGAAAGTGAGAAATCACCCCCCAGGGGGGATGGCCACGCTGCATTCCCTTCTCTGTTCTCTTCTCGGGATCTTGGGCACACACACACAAGCGCCCAGAGTGAGTTTAAGCCACCGGGTCTGGGACTCGAACCGCGGTGGACTACATGGGAGTCTAGTGACTTAGTCATTCTGCCATCTGCTCGTCCCTGGAGTCGTTCTTTTTCAGTTTTCACTTTCAGAAGCCTCACCGTGGCGGGGACATTGTGAGTCGCGTGCTGATCCCAGAGCACTTCCGCTGGCCAGCTGTCATGCAGTTAGGTGGTCAAGGTGGTCGTTGCCCCGTGTCACAAGGCGGAGCTTCCTGTGAAGAAAGCCCTTTCCAGTGTGACAGAGACGGGTTTCCTTTACACCGAGAGAAGAGAGCCACGGGTGGGGGACGGCGTGGGTGTCAGTCATCAGAGTAGGCCCGCTGAGTGACAGAACACGGGTGACCGTAGGGAGATTGTCAGTGACACATACCTGAGGATGGGGACCACACCCAGATACAGATTTTAAATAGGAAGGAGGTGTTGTAGATAGTTTCCTAGACAGAGTCGAGAGGAAGCCTTCAGGTAGCCAGCTTTCTCTGCGGGCACTGTGGGGTGTTTGGTGTTAGGGATGCTAATTCGGAACCTGTCGCCTGACTGTCCACAGCCGTCCCCTTGCCTGACGTGGGCCTGGCGTGGCTGGTGCTCAGTGGCGAGTACAGGGGTGCGGCCCACAGCCTGGCTGCTTTGTTTCCGATCCACCTGAACTCCTTTGGCCTGGCTCCCTAGGCCTCACGCACGGCAGCGCGAGGCCTTCCTCCTTCCCTCCCTCCCTCCCTCTCTCTCTTTCTCTCTTTCTTTCTTTCCTTTTCTAAATCCCCAGAAGGCGTGTGTACTTGCCAGTGGGCAATGGGGCATGGTCATGCTACAATCTCTTCTCCATTTCTCCATCCTGTCAGGATTTGGGGCCCACCAGGGGTGGGATTCGAACTGCAGTCTGCCATGTGGGATCCAGCCCCCTTAACTACCAGGCCATAAGGCCCTGCCCAAAGTAAATTTCCTTTCTAAAACCCACCCACTGTAAGTAGTTTATCTACAGTAAGTTGAAGTGGGTCGTGAGGATTGATGGAGACTAGGACACCCCTGGCAGGGTCGCTGCAGAGGGCTGAGCCCCTGCACCCAGAGCGCAGCCCCGCTCAGTGAGCCGCAGACGCTGGCTAGCTGCAGACACTGGCTGTCCACCTGTAACCAGGGGGCCCCTCTGTTCCTGCCAGGCCCCATCAGGGAAGACGTTACGGGGTCTCTGCTGATGGCTGGCTTGGGAAATGATGTCTGGGTGCTCGTTTGGTTGTAGGATGAGTTCGACAAGCTGAGGCCTCTCTGCTACACCAACACGGACATCTTCCTGCTGTGCTTCAGCGTGGTGAGCCCCTCGTCATTCCAGAACGTCAGTGAGAAGTGGGTGCCCGAGATTCGCTGCCACTGTCCCAAAGCCCCCATCATCCTGGTGGGGACGCAGTCGGACCTCAGAGAAGATGTCAAAGTCCTCATCGAGTTGGACAAATGCAAGGAGAAGCCAGTGCCTGAAGAGGCGGCCAAGCTGTGCGCCGAGGAGATCAAAGCTGCCTCCTACGTCGAGTGTTCGGCCTTGACGCAGAAGAACCTCAAGGAGGTCTTTGATGCGGCCATTGTCGCTGGCATCCAGTACGCGGACACTCAGCAGCAGCCAAAGAAGTCTAAAAGCAGGACTCCAGACAAAGTGAAGAACCTCTCCAAGTCCTGGTGGAAGAAGTACTGCTGTTTCGTATGATCCTGGCCGGAACCCGGGGAGGCCGCTTTCAGCAGCTCATTACCTGGCCTGACGCCTGGCTGTGTAGACCCTGGGTTGTGAGAGTGACATGGCCCCAGGAGGCCGCATTCTGTCTTGCCTTCCGTTTTCTTGTTTCTTTCAACCTAGGGATGAGAAACTTATGCAAGATATTTTTGAAGTAAGTTAAGAATTTTCCGTAACTCTGGAAACTTAGAGCTCTAGACCTCTGGATTAATTTATATCTAATATGAAAGAGACACCTCCGATGAGGCTGCTGAGGGTGGAATGTTGCTACGTTGTAATGTACAGAAGAACAAAGGGGGGGGTGTTTGGTAGCGTCTGAGTAAGGGCTGCTTAACGCTCAGCTCTATCCACAGGTCAGCCCTGGAGGAGTGACTCTTAGCCTTGAAGTTCCATGCACAACTTACCTTTACTGTTTGCAATTTTTTTTAAGAGCAAAAAATCAGAAAAAAAAAGAAAGACCTCTGCCTGCTAAACCTCAAACCTGTCACTTTTGTCATGTACTAATACCCAGTTGCTTAAGTTTTAAAAACAACCAACAAAAACCATCCCACTGACCACATGGCCTTGTGTAGACCCAAAAGGAAACTCGGTTACTGGGAATTTGCATCCTCAGGCCAGTCGTGTTGACACCGTGTGAACACGGCCAAAATGTCATGTGGAGGAAGCAGGTGCCGGCCGGTGAAGTTTCTAGAAAGGCCGACAGCAAATGTTTGTGGGGTACGAGATATACCTTCTTTCCTTAAGTCAGCCAAAATATGCTTCTGTGTGTACACACCTGTACCCGTGCACACGTATGCATATGTGGCTGTATTTGCTGCTGATCCAGACTTTTAAATAGTTAGTGCAAAAAGCAAGGCCATAGACATCGATGTCAGAGAAGCGCGATTCCTCTTCTTGTTACCAGCAGGCATCTTTCTGGTTGTACCTGAGCCGTGATTTTAAGCATATCTGAATGTAAGTGTTTTTAAGGCCATCTTAAGACAAAAATGCACATCTCCCGAAGCCTGTTAAAACAACCAGTGGAGTCCACCGATGTTCTCAGGGCGCTGTGTGTCTGAGGGGCTGGCAGGGGCGGGGTCTGTGCAGCCGGTCAGGTGCACGTGGGACCTCGACCCCCATGTGCTGCTGCCTCCTTTCCATGGGACAGAGAATCACGTGTGTGCAGCATGTCCTTCAGGGTGGCAGCTTTTAGGGCGAAATCTTCTGGGGAAAACAACTCCCTTTCAGGAGAGTAGTTTCCCTTTGCAGCTGGGGAGCTTCGGAGACGCCCCCAGGTAGCCTGAAAGCCGGAATCGTGATGTCACCCATGAGTAGGACAAGCAGTCTCCAAAATCATTTCAGGAACCAACTGGGGGACCCTGGAGGGCCAGAGGCTAGAAGAGTTTCATCTTTCTGTGGGTTTAGTGTTGCCTTTTATATGTGTGTGTGTGTGTGTGTGTGTGTGTGTGTGTGTATATACACATAAAATTCAACGTGTGTTTTTCTATAGAAAAAGTAAAAGATCAGGTTATACTTTTGGGTAGAGGCTTCTTTTATTCTTGTTAGTAAATAAAATTAACAAATTTCTTTGTTTAACAAGAGTTAATCTTTAAACCACTCAGATACACAGACTGTGTACTATTGATTTTTCAACGCGCCGAGATTGCTATCGGTCAGTTTCCCGAAGTGTTGAGTTACCACCGAGTGAATAGAATGACTTCATTTGTGGAGATGCTGAAAACAGACCTACCTAAATGCAATCACCATCCTGCCCCCGGCGTG